CCTTGACAGTGACCCTCTGAGGGCCAAATAACTTTAAAAAGTCTTTCCCAATTGCTGGGTTGTAGTGTGTGTGTGTGTGTGTGTGTGTGTGTGTGTGTGTGTGTGTTTGGAGAGTCCATCTCTAATATCAGCAGTTTAAAAGCAGGTTGAAACAACACTGTGCTCTCCTGTGTTTGGGCAAACAGGAATCAGGCCACCCTGACCTCATGGTCCCACGGAGACTGGCTGCCAGGAAGCCTGTGAGGCCGTCCAACTCTGAGAGGGCGGGCCTGGCAGAGCCCAGGACTTGGCAGAGCCCAGAGGAAGCTGGAAGGCGCTGTGCACAGAGTGAAAGCCTGAAAGACGTGGACACGGAGCTTGGCAAGGGTGAGGCAGGTAGGAAGAGCTGAATTAACACCTGCCTTGTTGTCATTATTAGCCCTTTCAGCCTTGTCTGGGGAGGGAAGAATGACTTTTAACTTACCCAAACTTCTCTTTAGGCACATTAATATCTTTTAAAAACAAACTATAATACTTCTTTTTTACTTTTAAATTCTTTTTTGAAATTCATCTTTTTTGTTGAAAGTATCGATATTACAGATTCCTCTTTTCCCCTCCATTGACCCCCATCCACCCCACTTGCCCCTTCCAGGCCTTCACCACACTATTGTCTGTGTCCATGGGCTATGCATATATGTATGTAAGTTCACTGGTTAAACCAAAGACCGTATATATACGTGCATGCATAGCCCATGGACACAGACAATGGAGGGGGGGATAGCTGGGAGGAGGAGGGCTAAAGGGGGGAAAATGGGAAACATCTGTTATATTATCAACAATTATATATATATTTAAAATAAAAATCTTATATAATAAAAGGCTAATATGCAAATAGACCAAACGTTGGAATAACTGGAACAACCTGCCGAACAACCAGTTGCTATGATGTGTGCTGACCAACAGGGGGCATGCGTGAAACATGGTGGGCATGGCCACGGTAGGATGATGGAGCAGGTGAATGGGGGCACCAGACCAAGGCAGCCTCTGGTGGTAACTGAAAATTCTTTGTAGCAGTCCCGCCTGGCGCTTGCACCTGCCCATCTGGCCTCACTCGCACCCACTACAGGTGCCAGAGCCGCTGCTCACACCCGCTGCTGGCACCTGACCCAATCACTCCATGCCTTCAGCAGGTGCTAGGAGGCTGGTGGAGCAGGGGGAGTGGGGCTGCTGGCAGACAGGGGGCAGTGGCGGGAGGAGCTGGCCTGGCAGGCAGGGAGGATGGGCTGAGATCTGCCCTATGTCTATGGAAGCCTCGAGGCCCACAGTTCCTTTCAAGAAAGTTCAAACACAGGGCCCCTAGTAAAAAAATAAAAGGCACATCTGAAACTCAAAAAAAAAAAAAAGCTGAAACCTGTTTGGCTCAGTGGATCAGAGCATCGGCTGCGGACTGGAAAGTCCCGGGTTTGATTCCAGTCAAGGGCATGTACCTTGGTTGCGGGCACATTCCCAGTAGGGGGTGTGCAGGAGGCAGCTGATCGATGACTCTCTCTCATCGATGTTTCTAACTCTCTATCCCTCTCTCTTCCTCTCTGAAATAAATAAATGAATAAATAAATAAAAGCTGCTATAAATATTCACGAATAAGTATTTAAAATTTTTTTTAAAAATCTTTCACCACCCACTTCCACCTTCCCTCAGAAATTTATCGGTCTTGAAGGCACTAACACTCCTTCCAGGTTCAAGTTCCGGCAGCTGTTTATTTCTATCTTCCTTTGGTATCTTTCTGCATCTCCATTGGCTCTGAGGCCCATGTTGGACGGTCAGCAGCAACATAGCTCAGCTGTGCGAGCTGAGTGAGAGCAGGTCCCCGTCTCCTGGGCCAGACTCTCCATCCGGCAGCCGCCTCCCCTGGAGGCCCTGGCAGGCCCAGCCTCTGGCTCCTGCAGTCTGCACACCTCTGCCGGTACCACCTACAGCCACTCTCATTGTCCCTGAAACCTTTCTGGCCGCCTCCTGGCCCAGCTCTTCTTCCCACTGGCCCTGAGCTCCAGGGAAAATAATCCTGCTGTGGGCTTCCAAGTGCCTTCCCTGGCTCTGCCTGCGAGCTTCCAGTAACGCCAGGAAACTGCTTGTTGGCCTAGTAAACTTGCACACCTGCCATCCTTCAGGACTTGCTCCGGTGTCTCTCCCAGGAATTGTACGGCCTCCTCCTCGGAGCTGCCTCAGTGCTAGGAAAATACACACACACAGGACACGGTAGGTTTCTGAGGGCACTTTACTTTGACTTTTGCGTTTCTAGCACAGAATCTATCAAATAAGTGTTGAATACATATTTAGACCCACATTCTAATACTCTCATCTTCAATTCCCATTTAGAACAAGGTGGGGGGATTTAAATGGGAAATGAGGGACCTCATATTAAACCTGTTTGTGTTTCACTGCGCTGTCTGGAAACTCATCTTTAAAGTTGAACAGTGGGACCAGATGACCTACAGTCCCTTTTAGCTTTAAAGATCTCACCTCAGAGGAAAATCCCTCAGCATCCACCAAACTTACCACTGAATTTCTTACACATTTCCTACCAACCATGAACCCATTTAGGTTAACACACTACTCTTTGAATCTGTTTATTATTTGCTAGAAAGGCCTTCTTTATCAGTTGGTGAGAGTGACTTTAGGTAGAGATCCTCTCACGGAAATGATGAGAAGTGGTGGCAGTTCCTAGGAAAAGCGGGACGGATGGGTGCTGGGGACAGTGAGTACTGGGCAAGCGGACTTTGGAAGGAGGACTCTTCTGGATACAGGTCACAGCTTTGAAGCTCATTAGCACTCCTCAGCTGCAACCCACTTTTGGCCCTAATTCCTGGCCCATGAAAATCCAAAATCCGTAAAGAGCCTAGGGATCTTGCCAGACACAGCCAGTTTCACATCCTGGCTCTGACACCTACTAGCTCTATGATTTTGGGTCAGTTACCTAACTTAATAGATTATATAATATATATATCGATATATGATGCCCCTTGCAGGAAGATTCCTGCAATAGGGATTCCTGCTTCAGTCTCCGCTGCCCCATCGGCTTCTCTCCCTTCTCCCGCCCCACCTGCTTTCCTCCCTTCTCTGCAGCTTCGCTCCCTTCTGCCGTGCTTGGCTTCTCTATGCTGTCTTGAGTCTTCCCTCTGGCCTGGATATGCAAATTACTGCCATCTTGGTTGGGTTAATTTGCATAGTCACCCTGATTGGCTGGTGGGCATGGATTGTGGGTGTAGCGAAGGTATGGTCAATTTGCATGTTTCTCTTTTATTAGAGAGGATATATATATATATATATATATATATATATATATATGTAATTGATTTCAGAGAGGAAGGGAGAGGGAGAGAGAAACACCAATGATGTGAGAAAAATCATTGATCAGCTGCCTCCTGCATTCCCCACACTGAAGTGATCTGGGCATGCGCCCTGACTGGGACTCGAACTGTGACCTCCGGTTCATAGGTTGATGTTCAACCACTCAACCACTGAACCACACAATCCTCTATTTTCTCACCTGTAAAATTATGGTAATAACAATAAATGCCTCTCAGCTTTTATTGAGAAGATTAAATGAGATGATGTTCTAAGGTCCTGTCACATACCAAATGCACATAAATGGCAGCTGTCGCATTTTTCATAGCTTTGGGGCTCTCTAGATCCCCAGGACTAAGTTTGGGTCAGTGGGTTATTGGGTCTTGCCCTGAACTGGAGATGGGGTGGGATAGGGTGGGATGCAGTTTGGTCATAAGACAGGAGGCCTGGGGAATAGTCGCTGTGGAACCCTGAGGTTTGATCTGCTAGGGATGTGGTATTCCAGGAGCTCCGGCACAATCCAAAGGCACACCCTGCCTGGGGGGAGGGGGGATGGTTGATTATCGATAGATTCTAGCATCTACTTCCTCTTTTCAGTTGAAGATCGTTTCCATCCCCAGCCCTCTGAACCCAGGGAAGGCCACCAGTTTGCAGACTTGGAAGGCACACAGAAATGTTTATTTCAGATATTTGAACCTTCATCTATAAATTATCTGTCTCACCTTTGGAAGTACCCATAAGAAATTATTTCTCTAAGTGTGGGAGGGGAATTCAAAGCAGCTACATCTGAGCCCTGTCTCACGTGTTGAGTCAAGATCTCTGAGATGAGGACTGAGAATCTATAGTGAACCAAGTCCCGCAGGTGATCCTGATGCACCACACTCTTGCTTCTGCAAGTGCGGTCTCAGAGCCAGCACAGCCTCACTTAGACTCTAGGCCAGGCGTCCTCAAACTTTTTAAAGTGGGGGCCAGATCACGGTCCCTCAGAGAGCTGGAGGGCCGGACTATATGAACTACTAATTCCTACTGTAACACCTCGGCTGCGCTCACTGCCCAAAAAACCTGGCGGGCCAGATCAGACTCCTCTGCGGGCCGCATGTGGCCCACAGGCCGTAGTTTGAAGACGCCTGCCAGTGGTTCTCAACCTTTCTAGTGCCAGGACCCTATAATACAGTTCTTCATGTTGTGGTGACCCCCAACCATAAAATTATTTTCATTGCTGCTTCATAACTGTAATTTTGCTACTATTAAATGTATTATAATGTAAATATCTGTGTTTTCCAATGGTCTTGGGCTCTTCAGCAGCAATTCTCAACCTGTGAGTCCTGACTCGGAGACCCTGCTAGCAGAGCAGATTCAATGAATGTGAATCCCCAGCCTGCAGTCTGGATTTCCTAACCCATTCTTTTCCAAATCTTTTCTTTCTTTAGTTTCGCTCAGGTGACTGCCTCATTGCTAGAACTTTAGCTTTGATTTTGTGTGTGTATGTGTGTGTGTGTGTGTGTGTGTGTGTGTGTATAAAACTGACTTGTGAATTGTCCTCTATCATTATACCAAGAGCTCTTGTACAGAGAATACACAAAAAATTAAAAAGATTTATTTAATGTATTTCCCAGCACAAATGGAAATGTCTTTTAGGACAGGAACTTAACCTTCTGCTTCTTTCTGTGTTCCAGCCTCAATTCTGCAGTGAGACTCACTGAGCTGATTAAGCACTTTTAAGATCACAACAAGGACAATCATTCAGATGGGTAGTGATGCTCCTGGAACATTCTGCAACCCTTGTTCAAATGTAGCGCATCCATGCATGGTTGACACCATGGACCTATTTACATTCTGACGATGTACTATAATGATGGAATCATATCTTTATGTGCTTTACCTTTTAACAGAATTTAAAGTATTAGGAAAAGAGATATTATGCCGGGGCTGACCAGCAGCCCCTAAGCAACCAATGAATGATTACTCCGACACAACATTTGCTGTGAAAGAGAGGGCTAAGGGACTGCCTGGCTAAACGAACCAGACGGCCTCAATTGCCTGCCTCTTTAGCCTTTTATTGTGATAGCAGTTTGAGATAAAGTTTATCTGTTAGATACAATCAGTAGAGTAAGTAATATTGGGAGTACACATGTGTCTGCAATGTCCTTTAAGCAAGGACATCAAAAGATTAAGCATATGGCTGAAACCGGTTTGGCTCAGTGGTAGAGCGTCCGTGTGCGAACTGAAAGGTCCCGGGTTTGATTCCGGTCAGGGGCATGTACGTTGGTTGCGGGCACATCCTTGGAAGGGGGTATGCAAGAGGCAGCTGGTCGATGTTTCTCTCTCATCGATGTTTCTAGCTCTCTATCCCTCTCTCCCTTCCTCTCTGTGAAAAATCAATAAAATATATATTTTTTAAAAAAAGAAAAGATTAAGATATGGATTCCAGTAAACACCCGGGGGTCTGCATGTGAACAGACTTGTTTGGAAGGGTCAAGGAATAGTTAAGGGCACTACCTTCAGCACTCCACTAAGTTGGAATTCTGATAAACAGGGCAGGTGGCCTTCGGCACATTTCCCTTTTCTCAGAATGTCCTCTTTATAAACTGTCCAACCAAGTCTTGTGTGTTCCCCAACAATGTTATGTCTTTATTTATTTATACGTTTTTAAATATATTTTATTGACTTTTTACAGAGAGGAAAGGAGAGAAATAGTTAGAAACATTGATGAGAGAGAAACATTGATCAGCTGCCTCCTGTACACCCCCTACTGGGGATGTGCCCGAAACCAAGGTACATGCCCTTGACCAGAATCGAACCTGGGACCCTTGAGTCCGCAGGCTGACACTCCATCCACTGAGCTAAACCAGTTTCGGCACAATGTTATATCTTTAAATTGTCATGCTATTGTTTATGTTAAGACAGCGGCAGAGAATAGAAATTTCCTCCTCCAATCTAATCTCCCCAGTTTCTTTAAGTAACAGATCCCCAGTTTTTGGTTAGTGCATTGCAGTCCAGTTAACAGAGGACATTCCCTAGTTTCAAGGGCAGATGATTTGGGCAGATGACTAGGTGCTCGATATAGATATGTCTGTGAGAGCATCGTGTGGCACTTCTGCAGTAAGTGTCCTTATGAGGAAAGGGTTCTGTGCTAATTCTTCCTCTGGGCCTGAAACATGGCTGAGATGGCTGGAGCACCAGTTGTCTTGTTAGGTGAGGAGTATAAGGGCTGTTAGAGATCTTAGAGTTGACAGCCAGAAGGAGATTGAGCCGTTAATGAATTTTGGGCTCCTTGCCACACCAACCCCCAAATTACCTATTTATAAAACCCATTTGCAGGAGAAAGTGGCCAACAGTTATATGCAGATGACCTAATTTGAACTGGTACAAGGTATAGTTAAATTATGCTCCTTTTGTATTCAATTCATATGAATGAGGTTTAATCACAGATAATTAATACACCGATTCCAGGATGATAAAATAGTGTAAAGTCTACTAATTGTACTGAACTGCTGGCTGAATGTGGCATTTTTATTTGTAGCACAAAATAAAAAACGTTAAGATGCTTTAGAGAGTGTAGTTGATCCAAAAGCCAATTTTAGACAGCAATAAATAGTTCTAAGCTCTTCGGGCCACTGAAGACTTCCCCTTAATGGAAATAAAAAGCACCACAATCTAGTTAAAATAGAAACATTGCCATTGTTCTTGTCGATTTACTAGCTACTTTTGTTTTAAGTTTTAAGTAGATTTTAAACATGTTTATTGTGCTGAAGAATTTTCTTCTTCTTCAGAAAGAAAGTCTCTTCTAGAAACACCTACATGAAACTTTTTTAAATAACCAGAGTGGGAGAGAGCCAGAGACTAAGGTAAAGGCAATACAATGGAGGATCATGATACTGGTCAGTAGGAAAACAGGGAAAAGCAGAACTTGGAGGAAAATGATGATAGGGAGGGTCTTATGTGCTGGCTGGGACATAGGGTAGTGATAATAACCACTGTAGTCATTTGCCGCATAACAACATTTCAGTCAACAACAGGCCGAGTATATAAGGATGGTCCCACATAATTATAGTGAAGCTGGAAATTCCTACTGTCTAGTGACATCATAACATCCTGGCTCAGTGCATTACTCAAGTGTTTGTGTTTGTGGTGATGCTGGTGTCAACAAACCTAATGCCCCGCCAGTGGTATAAATGTATAGCACATACCATTAGAGTAGTCGGCTATGCCAGCCACACTTGAGTAAGTGTACTTTATGTCTGTCCCCGATGTAATAGCCTCATGCTGCCTTTCTCGGAATGGCTCATTACTAAATTTGAATAATGGATTTCTGTTTACAAAGCCCATGAATTAACTCACTCCGAGATAGGAACACTGGGAGAGTTGTGAGGGCTTATGAGTGAGGAAAGGGAAGACCATAAAGGAAGCAGGAGACAGTTCTTCTGGATGACGGGAAAATATAAAGTCCAGCCGTCCAAGATAGCCAAGGCTGGTCACAATGTTTGGTCGTGTTTATGGTTCAGTTTTTGCACCTCACTCTTATGCTGTTTTGGAGAACCTCTTTAAAAAAAATACAAAAATTAAGTTCAGGGTCTTGAAAGAGACCTACGCAAGTGAGTTCCTAAGACTTGGTTAGTGCCACAGTAAATTCTTTGTGCCTTAAACACAAACAAAACCGGCACCATAGGATACAATCACTTCTGTAAACTCTTCCCCTCAGCTACATATCTTGGGTACCCTCCTCTGTCAATACATGATTTAGTTCATCTTTTAAAATAATTCTGTGTCCAAGACCGGTTTGGCTCAGTGGATAGAGCATCAGTCAGCCTGCGAACTCAAGGGACCCAGGTTCGATTCTGGTCAAAGGCATGTACCTTGGCTGTGGGCACATCCCCAATGTGGGGTGTGCAGGAGGCAGCTAATTGATGTTTCTCTCTCATCGATGTTTCTAACTCTCTATCCCTCTCCTCTCCCTTCCTCTCTGTAAAAAAAAAACCACACAATAAAATATGTTTTTAAAAAAACAAAATAATTCTGTGGTTGTCCCTCATTGAATGATATTTAAGTTTTATTCCCTCACTTTGATCTTCTCACGGGGTGGGGGGTGCTTTACATAACAACTCAGCCTGGAATATGGTGAGTGCTAAATAAACAGTTGTTAAGTTGGTATGCTGTTCTTTTTTTTTTTTTTTTTTAATACATTTTATTAATTTTTTACAGAGAGGAAGGGAGAGAGATAGAGAGTTAGAAACATCTATGAGAGAGAAACATCAATCAGCTGCCTTCTGCACGCCCCCTACTGAGGATGTGCCCGCAACCAAGATATGTGCCCTTGACCGGAATCGAACCCAGGACCTTTTAGTCCACAGGCCAACACTCTATCCACTGAGCCAAACCGTGTTGGCTGGTATGCTGTTCTGAGCTGTACAGTCTCCAGGTCTGCTGCCTTAAAAGATGGTGATGTGGACTCTGACGCTGCCTTTGGCTGGAGTGGTGAGAGAGAGAACAAAACACCACCCTCTGTCCTGGAAGCAGTCCTTCCTCCGTATCTCCTTTCCCTCCCCCCCTCCTTCCTCCCCCTCCCCTACTTCCTTAGGCTGTCAACTCCCGCCTGGATCTTAGTGAGAGGAGGGAAACCTCACTGAACAGGTTTGGCCAGAACACAAGATGGTGTTTCAGGAATAGGCTCTAGATTTCAATGCACTTAAAAACAAAAACAAAACAAAACAAAATAAAACAAAACACCCACAACTTTTTATTTATGGATTTTAGAAAGAAAGTTGATTTGTGCAATTCCACTAATTTATGCATTCATTGGTTGCTTCTTAAATGTGCCCTGATTGGGGATCAAACGCACAACCTTGGCATATCAGGACAACACTCTAACCAACTGAGCTACCCAGCCAGGGCTATTTCAGTGCACTTTTAACTTTAGAGGGAAAGTTTCATGAACATTCTTTCCCCAGGTCAATGGCAGCCAAGTTTAAAAATTAAAACTTGAAAAATAGTGCCAATCGGAACGTCTCAAGCAGGGCATTTAGCTGTGGTGAACCTGAAAAACAAAGTACATTAGAAATGAACAAAAATTTCATAAGGAGTGCAGGACGCTAGGAATTAATTTCGCCTTACATTTTATGTGCTAAATGGGACCAGGAATATGTCCACTTTAGCTGGGACAAAGGCATAATTGATTCATTTGTGAGTAGAGACATTCTCTAGAAATAATAAGCGGACCAAAAATATCAGCAAAAGAAAGAAAAGCTTCTATCATCCCAGAATAGTGGGTAGAGTTTGGTGTTTTTAATGAGAAAATTTACATGCTCATTTCCTCGAAGAAATCTCTACAGCTTGCTTAAGGCCACCTAGTCCGGTAGTGACTGTCCCCAGGTTTTGTCTGTTCCCTGAAACCAGACACAGGTTCTGTGTATACCAAGAATCTGCCAGGTTCTGAACCATAAAGAAATTCACTTCCCAGCAGCATCTGGGGGGTCATACTACCCAGTCAGAAGAAAAGGTGACTCCTCTCTGCTGACTGCCAGAGGGGGATGGCAAGAAATAAACTCTTCAATCTCGGTTGGAGTTCATATTGCCTTTTATAAAAATGCACCCTATTCCAGAGAGAAACCTTTCAGATTTGCTTGTTCATATTTTATTAATACCTATACAGACTTTGTAAATATATCACTGCTATTTGGCCCAGGTGACTGATGAAATATTGACAGCGCGTGATTTATATGTGCAGAATGGCACAGCAGGAAAGCTATTTGGCTGTAATTACTTAGGGTTTTATTACCTTCTCTGCTAAGACAAAGTGTGAAAGGGTGAAAGCACCGATTGTTCCCAATTACTTGAAGTATTTTCTGTAAATATCTAACCCTTTCCTGCATTTTTATTAGCCAAATTGAAAGGGAAATTATCAGATTATTTTATGGTTTTTGTTGTACAAATACTGATAGTCGACATTAAAACATTTCCAATTCGATATATATGACAGAAAAAAAATGTAGTTAAACCCATAATGATGTATCTTCTGCCTCCTACACCACCGCTGCACCTGCTGTTCTAATTCCTCCACCTCCCACTCTGTCCTTAGCCTGGAGGAGCGCAGCGAGAGACACATCTACACTGAGGGCCTGGGCCTCCCCAAGATCTTGCTCTCAATCTGCAGCATCCAGGAAAGCCTGGTCC